TCGGCAGCTGGTGCTGCTTTCCGAGGGACCTCAGGTGACCACCCCTTCCTGCCAGTTCACAGTAACTTGGAAGTTGCAGTCCTTCCAATGCCCACATCCACAAGCAAATTTTAAGTCTTTTTTTCCAGGTAAAATGCCTTATTTACTGCAGTTGTTACGTATTTCTTTCCTTTTAAAAAAATTAACAAAATCTGAGTTTCAATTACAGTTGACGTACAATATTATATTAGTTCCAGGCGTACAATAGCAATTAGACATTTTTGTTGTGTATCCTTAACCGTGCAATATGTGTAAAACTGCTACTGTTTTTATTAGGTTCCTATCTTTTTTAATACGTCACTGATAAACAGCAAGGAAGATGACTGCAGAATGCTTCTGGAAGCTAGAAAGAAGCAATAATAGAAAATACATATGTTGGTCTCTGCCCCTCGTTTCTGGCACAGGGCTCTTAAAACCCTTGTAAAGTCCTAAGTGATAAGAGCACCAGGACCATCTTTTCTTCTATTGGGGCTACTCTGGCTGGGCTCGAGGATGGGGCTGGTTACCAGAAAGACCAAGTCATGATTAGAAACTTGGAATTTTCAGTCCTGGCTGGAAATGGCATTAATAACTGACCATGCCTATGTGAGGAAGCCTCTAAAAATCCCAATAGTATGGAGTTCACAGAGATTCCAGGTTGGCGAACACATCCACATACCAGGAAGGTGATGCACCCCATCTCCACAGGGACAGAAGCTCCTGCACTTGGGACCCTCCCAACCCCACCCTGTGTATCTCTTCATCTGCCTGTTCCTCCCTATCCTTTATCATATCTTTTAATAAACTGAAACACATAAGCGTTTCCCTGAATTCTGTGTGTTGCTCTAAAAGTTAATAGAACCTGAGCAGGGGATTGTGGGAACCTCAGATTTATGACTGACTGCTCAGAAGCACAGGTGACAGCTTGGACTTCCAGTTGGCATCTGCAGTGGGATGGGGAGCTGGGCCCTTAACCTGTGGGATCTGATGCTATCTCCAGGTATACAGTGTCAGAATTGAGTTAAATCACAGGACACCCAGCTGGTGTCACGGAATTGCTTGGTGGAGAAAACCCTCACACATTGGGTGACCAGAAGTGTCAGAAGTGGTGTTCTGTGCAAGTAGTAAAGGAGACACATAGGAAGAGAATTGTGCATTTAAAAATATATATCTTTATTGATTTCAGAGAGAGGAAAGGAGAGGGAGAGAGAGAGATAGAAACATCAATGGTGAGAAAGTCATTGATCGAGTCTGCAACCCGGACATGTGCCCTGACTGGGAATTGAACCCCGATCGCCTGGATCCTAGGTCGATGCTCAACTTCTGAGCCACGCCTGGCTGGGCAGGGAATTGTGCATTTTTAAATACACTCACTTAGGTCTAAGAAAGTTGACTGTTAAGCCAGCTATGAGAAAGAAGGGAGCTACACAGAGAGAGCTTCAGAAATCTGCGTGGGTTCTCCTGGAGTCCATTGTTGAATAATGAGTCTTGTATGTATAGAGTGACACTGGGGAAAGAATGACTGGGAGTTGTAAGCTGAACAATTTTCAGAGAGCATTTAAGTTACTACCAGTCAGAGAGGGGAGTCCCTAGTGAACACCTGGGGCATTCAGCAGAGCCCCCAGAAGGGTCATGCCCTAGTGACAGGCTTTGCTACCTAATCCCAAGATTTAATATAAGTGACAGTAATTAAGAGTGTATGGTATTGGCCAAAGATAGATGTATAGATCAATGGAATGATATAATCTAGAGATAGGCCCACACATCTATGGTCAATTGATATTTGACAAAGGTGAAACGTCAATTCCATTGAAAAAGAACAGTCTTTTCAACAAATGGTCCTGGAAGAACAAGATATCCATGAAAAATAAGGACTTAATGCATTTCACAAAAATTAACTGGAAATGGATCATAGACCTTAACACTATATAACTTCTAGAAGAAAATGTAAGAGAAAAATCTTTACAATATTGCAGCAGAGGGAGATTCATTTGATAAGACACAAAAATCATGAAGCATAAAAGAAAAAAAATAGATAACTCGGATTTCATCAAAATAAAACCTTTTCCTTTTCAAAAGACAATATTAAGAATGTAAAGGCAAGTCATACTAGCAGGAAATAGTCATATATGACAATGGACTTGAATGCAGAATATACTATTTAAAGAACACTTGCAACTCAACAAAAAGACAAATAGCCCACCTTAAAAATGGGTATAATATCTGATGCATATGTCGCAGAATAAGATATATGAATGGCCAATAAGCACATGAAAATATGCTTAATGTTATTTATTTATTTATTTTTTAATCCTTACCTGAGGATATTTTTTCCATTGCTTTTTCAGAGAGAGTGGAAGGGAGAAAGAGAGAGAGAGAGAAACATTGATGTGAGAGAGACACATCGATTGGTTGCCTCCTGCACGTGTCCCGACCGAGGCCAGGAATAGAGCCTGCCTGCAACCAAGGTACATGCCTTTGGCTGGAATCAAACCTGGGACGCTTCGGTCCTTGGGCTGACGCTCTAATCACTGAACAAAACCAACTAGGGTTGCTTAATGTTATTAATTATTGGGGAAATTAAATTAAAACCACTATAAGATCCACCAACCCGCCATTAGAATTACTGATAATATCAAGTGTTAGTGTGTATGTGGAGCAACTAGAATGTTCAGATATTACCGGTAGAAAAGTAAAGTTGCTTAACTACTTTGAAAAACCACTTTGCAGTTTCTTATGACCTAGCAATTCTACTTCTAAATATTTATTTGAGAAATAAAAATATATGTCCAAAAAATAATGTACAAGAGTGTTCATGTCAGCTGTATTCATTATTCATAATAGCCCCAAACTGGAAACAACTCAAATGTCCATAAAAGGTAAAACTTGTGCTGTATCCATATAACGGAATGCTACTGAGCTATAAAAATAAATGAAAATTGATATATGCAACAACATGGATGAATCTAAAAAATTTATGTTGAATACAATAAGGCAGACACTGAAGAGTACTTACTGTATACAGTACTTTTTGTTTGTTTGTTTGTTTGTTAATCTTTACCCAAGGATTTTTTCCATTGATTTTTAGAGAGAGTGGAAGGAAGGGAGGGAGAGAGAAAGAGAAAGAGAAAGATCAATGCGAGAGATAGAGAAACACATAGATTGGTTGCTTCCTGCACACGCCTGATCTGGGCCAGGGATTGAACCTACAACCCAGGTATGTGCCCTTGACCGGGAATGTAACCTGCGGCTGCTCTAACCACTTAGCAACACTGGCCAGGGCTGTATACAGTACTTTTATTTACATGAAATTCTAGAAAAGACAAATCTATTCTATAGGGACAGAAAATAGATGAGTGTTTGCTTGGGACCTAGGGTTGTGGGGATTGATTATAAAGAGGCATAAGGGACTCTTTTGGGGGTAATGGGTATGTTCTATGTCTTTATTTTGGTGGTGGCTACAGGAGTGTATATGTTTATCAACACAGATCCAACTGTATACTTAAAACAGATGCATTTGACTGTATGCAAATTGTACCTCAATAAAGCTTATTTTAAAAAAACCACAACAACCCTGGAAGATTGGTTGCTATCGAACCCTGGAATCCCTTCTCCCATTCAGAACAGCCAGATACTGTCCCTCCCCACCTCAGCAGAGGACTTGAGGTTTATTCTCTGGAAATAGTTAAACAGAGGATCTTTATAACAAAGCACACAGGGCATTTTACCTTGCTGAAAATATAGGGAGGAAGAGAAAGTTTAGAATCTAAATGCTGAGACCCCAGCCCTCTTCTCTCATTTGTTTCCAGAATGCTAGAAGCCAGGCTTATAGATTCCAGGGAGTGATTTGGAAGATTTTTCTGACCAGCTGCAAAGGACAGACCCAAAAGTTTGATAATGGGATTTCTACATGTGAAAGCTCAGCTACAGTGAGTCCAGTGTTGACATGCCTCATCCATGCTCATGAGCTCCCCACTGTTTTTAGTGCTACCCCTGGAAATGTGAGTAGTTAGCCATAAACCAAGTCATCTGAGAAGAAACTCCAACATGAAAACTGGAGCTCAGACAACAAGCAGAAAAACAAATCTGAAGGAAGCAGAGATTAAGTAGAGAGATGAAAATATTAAAAAAGAAAAAAAAATCAAATCTCATTTTTATTAATATTTTCAAAGAGAAAGAGAAAGTGTTTCAGAGAAATAATCCCAGGAAAATTTCCAGATTTGAAGGACATGAGTTTGCAGATGGAAATGACCCACTAAATCCCCAACAAATATCATTAATTCATTCTGCTGGGGAGAGAGAAGATTATACAAATTTACAGAGAGGAGAAAAAAGGCTTCATATAAAGAATCTAAAGTCAGAATGAGTTCAGGCTTGTCAGCAGTAACATTGGCAGCTAGAAGACAATGGATAACTTCAAAATTTCGAGGGAAAACATTTTCCAACTCAGAATTCTACAGCTGTGCAAACTATCAATTGTTTTGAGAATAAAGAATATTCAGACATGCATTTTCTGAACACATTTATATCACCTTTCTCAGAAAGCTACTACAGGACATGTTCTACCAAAACTGGGGGTAAACCAAGAAAGAGGAAGAGACAGAATGCAGGAAACAGGGAGTCCAGTGCAAAAGAGAAAAGAAGGGAATTCCTTGGAAAAGGAAGGTCCCAAAATGAAAGCAATACAGCAGGTCAAGAGAGCACCCAGTCCAGATGGGAACCTGGGAGAGAGTCTGGGGAAAATGGCTCCAGGTGATGGAATTGACAGACTATTTGACATGTGTGACCATAGTGAGAGGTTTAGACAAGTGAGGGAGAGTCTGGGATGATAGAGGAATCTATATATGTTTATATATCAATATACAGATCATTATTAACTCTAGAAAAACCAAAAGTAAGGAAGTATATTGCATGGCTCAAAAAATAAGTGAAGTATACTCCATGGCTCAGTTGTGAATATCAATTAAAGAAATAATTCTATCATGAAAAAGGAAGATGAGAAGTGTGGTGGCCATGAGGTGGTTGTGAAAGAGGTAAGTTCTCACTTTCCAGAGCGGGAAGTTAATATTAACACCTAAACCTGAAAAGACAAGAAATAACACTATAAACATGCTACTTAGAAATATGCATATCAATTTAAAAATAAAAGTTTAAAACTTGAATGTGATTGCCTTTGGGAGTAGAAATTGTGTGTGCCTGAGAGCTGCTATTTTTCATTGTAAGCTTGTAGTTTGTCTCTTTAAACCATGTGTATGTATAACTGATAAAAAACCTATATCTATCTATCATCTATCTATCCATCCATCCATCTCTCTATATTTGGGGACTATTGGGAAAATGGTGACTGAAGTGTTGAAAGGTGGCTCTTTTTCCCTTTGTTCTGCTGAGATTCTCAACCAATAGGATAAAAAGCTAATCAGCTAATGTGGGTGGGGAAGTTTGGTGTCTGCTGGAGCCCAGAGCAGGCACATCAGAAGCTTTGAGTTCTTAGAACCCTGGAATCAAAGGCCTGGGGGAAGCTTGTTTGTCTAGTAAAGTTTAAGTTCCATGAGACACCGGAGCTGGTAGATCCACTCCCTCAGGACAAGAAAAGGACTCAGCCTTGCACCTCTGCTAAAAGTCTGTAGAGAAGTCTCCTAAACCTACTGACAGTGGCTGCCCTAAAGGGAACTCACCCTGTTTTCCTGAGCTGGGAGAAAATTGCCCTTATCTGCTCATACCTAGAGCAGCCAAAGAATCTAGAGGCTCTCCCCATTCTTTAGACAAGAGAGCCCTGCCTACCAGCCCATTTGCTGCCAGCCTGAAGGGAGTACACCGGTTTGAACAATCAGAACAAGTGCCTCTTACTGAGGGAAATTTAATGGAACAAATGAGCATCCAGGTCTACCTATGCTGTTGCGAATGGGAAGATTCATTTTTTTTTTTTTTTGTGGCTGAGTAATATTCCATTGTATACATCACAACTTTTTTATCCACTTGTCTATAGATGGGCCCTTGGATTGCTTCCATATCTTGCCAATAGCTCATATTCTTCATGCCTGTTGCCCACTTTCTTGTTGCAGTTGTTTGCCTTTTTCTTATGGATTCATCTATTTAGGAAAGTAGCTTGTTGGCTGTCATATATGTTGCTTCCTTATCTTACATTATTTGACTTTTTAAAAAAAGTATTACCTCCCATGCAGAAATGTTAAATAGCTTGTTGAACAAGCTCAAAAGAGTCAGAGGCTTTGGCTAGAAAAAAATGACAAAGACTTATTCAAGGGTCTTAAGGTTTGCAAACTGTAAACACAACTAGGCAATACCAAAAGTGATCCAAGGGAGAAAGAAAAGTTTGAGAGTTTTCATAGTAAAAAGCACATGTTTGAGGAAAAAAAAGAGTCAGTCTTGCATTGTTAGCCTGTGGATTGGTCAAGGCTGGCCATCTTCCAGATGTCCACTGGTCTGAATAATGGACACCAGGTGGTCTGGATGATGAAATACTCTCTCTCTAGCATGACAAGTGGCTATCTATATGATGTGTATATAATATCTCCAGCACACGAACATTCTTGAGGTTCTTCAGACATTTATCTATAGAATTTAGGTATATCCAGGCACTGGCACACAACTGGAAATCCAAAAGTTCAAGTTTACGCTAGCTAAAGCAAGAATAGAATCATTTCTTCATGCCTCAACCTACTTGATTTTAATAATTTAGCAGCTTGACTGTAGTGACTCTATATTATTTCTTCTTGTCCTCAGGTTTTTGTTATAATTACAAGCATTTGAATTCCAAGATAATAAAAACAAATTATGCCTCTTTTTTTCTTTAGAAATCAGAGGCTTTATATTAGGGGATGAACAATCATTAATGGTTCTGAAAGTGCAGAAGGGAGCCAAAAAGAAAGTCTTTCCCTCCTTTCCAGAGGACAGCAGCCAGTTCCACCTGTGAGGACTGTGGGACCTGGTGTCCAGGCAGGTTTAGTGAAGCCAAACAGGACTGGGAGGCTGGGGTTACTTGTTTGTTCATAGCTGGGCGCAGAGGATTTGGGGAGAGCCAGGAGGGGAGTGGGAGGACAAGTGCATGTGTGCTTGGCTGGTGTGTGTGTGTGAGAGAGAACATTACAGAGATGGGAGTGAATCTTTGGGGTAGGCCAAAGGCTTTGTGGGATTAACTCGGCTCTAGCTTCTGCCAGGAACCTCCTAAGGTGGTCTCTGTGAGGCCAAAAGAGGGTGGGCTAGGGCGGGGGCCTGAGTTTAGATGAACCACTGGACTGTGCATTCTTGCGGAACAGGGATTTGATCCTTGGTCTCTCTGTGTTAACAGCTCCTTGTGAAGCCCTTCAGAGGGTGTTTATGTGTGCAGCCTGGCACTGAGTGGGCTCACGGTGCTGGCCTGGGAGTGCACAGACAGGAGGAGAGTGGGAAGGACTGGAGCCACCCGGAATGCTTCAGGGAGGGGATGGAGGGCGGTCACTGGGCAGGCCCTGGAATGGGGAAGCGTTGCTCAAGCGGAGGCTGAGCCCAGGGCCTGAAAAGGGCTTGGTCTCAGGTGACAACCTGGTCAGCTCATTGGGTGGGGCTAGAGGTGGGCTAAAGGTGACAATAGGCTGGTCGGCTGTCTTTTCCAAAGGCTCCTCAGGGCTACCCCTCTAATCGTTCAGAGCTGGGTCTGGAGAAAAGGGCCGTGCAGAGGGCGGGGGTGTGTGGCTGGAGGCTACTAGGAAGGGAGGTGGGAGCTTAGCTGTCTCTGCGCCCAAAGCTCCCTGTTCTAGCCCAGCGCTCATCCTCTGCGCTGGGTTTGAAACTGCTGGGAACCTTTAAACAGAAAAACGGCAGTGGTAAGGGGGCGAGGACGAGTGTTGGAGTGCAGATGCAAGCACAGGTAATGTGTGCAACTGTGTATCCACAGACACCCCTCTCCCGGAACATAGAGTCTCGCTTGTACAAGAATGTCCACAACATGCACATAGCATAAGTGTGCATGCAGACAAGCCGCACAGCACGGGAGTGAACAGACGCCCACAAAGTGTCCCAAATACACACAGGTGCCCTTTTCCTCTGCTAGACAAATAAGTGGACAGGAATGTGATTTAGGGCTGGGGGTGGGGGAACTCGGGGCCTTTGTGGGCCTTTGGGCTCCACATGCCTACTGGAGTGAGGAGGAGAGGGGTGAAAAGTGGGGTCATGGCCCACTTGGCCTAGTTTCTCTATAGAATGAGGTGTAAGGGCATGTGACCAGGGAAACCACCTAGGCCAGGCCAACCCTGGGTCAGATAACTCAGGAACTGAGCTAATCTCTCAAGGAGGAGCTGCACTGGGAGGGGGGCTGTTAGGGAATGCTTTCTGGCTTTCAGGAGCCTGGGGGTG